AGAGCTTCCGGAGCTCCTTGGAAAGCCCCATACAGCCTTGCAGAGAAACTTCAGAGCCCCTGCGGGAAACCTGAAGGCCCCTAGGAGACGCTGGGAAGCTGAGCTGGAGGGCGTCGGGGCCTCTTTGAAGGAGGCCGCAGGGCAATTTTGAGAAAGGCCTGGATCAGAAGAGTTCCTGGGCTCCAGGGAGGAGGAGGAAGAGGAAGGAGCAGGAAAAGACGGGTGACGACGACGACGATGACGACGACGAAGATGACCACGGTAACGACGGTGACGACGACGACGATGACGACGGCGACGATGACGACGACGATGACGACGACGACGACGAAAGGAGGAGGAGGAGGAGGACGGGTAAAAGGATGAGGCAGGAGGCGACGACGACGACGACGACGACGACGACGACGACGACGACGGCGGCGACGGCGACGGCGTCGCCGCCGCGGGCTCCCGCGCGCCGAAACGAGAGCACCAGGGCGCCCCAGCGGGGGACAGCCGCGGAACCCTTTGGGATGCCCGAAACGCCAGGGCGTGAGCCTCTGGGAACTCTTGAGTACAATCGGAGGCTGTATCGAGCGGGAGCGTCATTGTTTGCCGGGGTGGGCACCTGCGGCGCCGAAGTGGGAGTGCTGGTTCTGGCTCGAGCGCGGTCGCCGGATTTGTTGGAAAGCCGGGTTTCGGCGGCGAGCAAAGGCACCGGCTATCAGTAAAAGGAGGGAAGTATCGAGCCAGAGTGTTGTTGTTTTTGGGGGGGCCGTTTCGGCGGCCCCCCAAAACCCATGAGCGGGAGCTTAATTTTCAAAGGAAGTACAGCCTGCGCCGAGGCGAGAGCGCCAGGGCGGATGAAGGGCGTCCAAATGTAATAACTATTGAGTTATTAGGACTCAACGACAACAACAACAACAACAACAACAACAACAATCATTTGAAGGTTGTTCGCTCCGATCTGCTCGCGTGCCAACCAACACGTTATCCCAAACACTTTGTACCCGCCTTCGTCGTCTTCGATCGTACCCGCTTGGGGATATAGCGGCCTTACCCACCATGCGAGATTAGCGCAGCCCCTAAGACAGGGGATAAGAGGACGGACGAAAAGGGAGGGAAGAGGATGAAGCACGAGAGAAATTCGCCGGAGGAGGAACCGAAAGCACGTGGCAGAACCAGACGGGCAGATTGTACGGGGAGGCCCTAGCGGCCGGGTCGAGAAGGTGAGCCCAGGCGGCCAGGTCGAACAGGCGGGTCGTCGAAGCGTGAGCCGCGCGTGAATCGCGGAGGGGGAGGAGGAGGAGGAGGAGGAGGAGGAGGAGGAGGAGGAGGAGGAGGAGGAGGAGGAGGAGGAGGAGGAGGAGGAGGGGGTGCCAGGCGAGAGCGCGATTCTTGCATGAGTTGAAAGGAAGCCCGCGCGACAGCCCGATTGTAATATATAAATTGTGGCGAAGCCTCAGGCGGGAGCCATTGTTTTTGTTGTTGTTGTTGCTGTTGCCGGTGGTGGTGTTGTTGTTGATTGTGTTATTGTTGTTGCTGTTGGTGTTGTCGGTGTTGCTGCTGCTGTTGTTCGGGGTCCAGCAGCACATTTTGCTGGCACTAAGCGCTTCCTGCTTAAAGTAGCAGACTGGGAGCACTTCAAGTGAAAAACACACTAATCACTAGAGGGCGGACCAACAGCCATTATTCTTTAGGAGAGGAAATTACATCAAGAATTAGTTTCATCAACAAAAACAGCAGCAGCAACAACAACAAACAGTTCACCCGATGGTTATATGATTAGTTATGTTGCGTCCATCATGATAGTTCCCCCTTCATGTGGGATCTCCTCTTGCACAAGAGGTCCGATATTCCATTACCCCAATCTCCCGCCCGAGGAGGTTTTGCAACACCTCTCCCGAGGCGTTTCAACATGTCCAGCCCAGATGCCACATCGCCTTTGCAATCGCCCTGCCCACGATGTCTAGGTATCACAACGCCCGAGTGGCCCAAAACCTCTGGGAGAGGCCCCACAACCTTTGGGAGAACCCCCAGAGCCCCCTGGATAGCCTCTGGAACCCCTTGGAGAGCCCCCAGAGCTTCTCAGAGAAGCTGCAGAACTCCGGATGGGAAACATGAGGGCCCTGGAACACGCTTTAAAACTGAATTGGAGGATTTCGGGGCATGTCGAAGTAGGCCTCAAGGCATTTGGAAATGGCCTGGACCGGAAGAGCTTCTGAGCTTCGGGGAAGGAAGAAGAGGGAGCAGGAGGAGGAGGAAGGAGGAGGGAAGACGAAGGGGGAGGAGAAGGAGGAGGAGGAGGAGGAGGAGGAGGAGGCGGAGGAGGACCAGGAGGAGGCGGAGGAGGAGGAAGAGGAGCAGAGAAGGAGGAGGAGGAGGAGGACGACGACGACGACGACGGGGCCGCCGCCGCGGGCTTTTTTGGGCCGCCCCCTGGTGCGCGGAGCGCGCAGGGGAGGCACGCGGGGCGTACCTCCGACGGTGCTTGCTGCCATCTTGAGGATCGGCACTATAGGGACCAGGGAAGCTCCTCCCTCCTCCTCCTCCTCCTCCTCCTCCTCCCCTCCTCCTCCTCCTCCTCCTCCACCTCCTCCCCCTCCTCCTCCTCCTCCTCCTCCTCCTCCTCCTCCTCCTCCTCCTCCTCCTCCTCCTCCTCCTCCTCCTCCTCCTCCTCCTCTGCGAGAGGCCCTGGCGGAGTTTTCAGCAGAAGCGGAAGAAGTATCGAGCGGGTGCGTCCCTGTTTGCAGGGGGGGGGCGTCTGCGGCGCCGAGGCGGGAGCGCCAGTCCCGAGGGAGAAGCAAGGGCGTATCGAGCGGGAGCGCCGGTTTTGTGGGAAGGCCAGCTTTCGGCGGCGAACAAGAACCCCGGTCCCGAGTAGAAAAGAGGGACGTCTCCATCGGGACTGTTGTTGGTGTTGTTGGGGGGCTGGTTTCGGCGCAACCCCGAAAGGTTCGAGCATTAAATTGATTTTCGAAGAAAATGCAGCCGGCGCCGAGGCGAGAACGCCAGTGATGTAGAGCGCCCCGCACTCATAATTGTTTATTAGTTACGGTTCAACATGGACTAGGGAAGCTTCAGGGCCTCTGGGAGTCTCGAGTAGAAGCGGAGGAAGTATCGAGCGGTATCGTCGTTGTGTGCAGGGGGGCGCTTGTGGCGCCGAGGCGGGAGCGCCGGTCCTGAGTAAAAAACAAGGGAGTATCGAGCGGGAGCGCCGGTATTGTGGTAAAGCCCGCTTTCGGCGGCGAACACGAACCCCGGTCCCGAGTAGAAAAGGAGGAGGTATCGAGCGGGAGTGTTGTTGTTGTTGCTGATGTTGTTGTTGCTGTTGTTGCTATTGTTGTTGTTGTTGCTGTTGTTGTTGTTGTTGTTGTTGTTGTTGTTGTTGTTGTTGTTGTTGTTGTTGGGGGCCGGTTTCGGTGCACCCCCGAAACGCTTGAGCGTGAGCTTCGATTTCACATGGAAAACAGCTGGCACCTACGCGAGAGCGCAAGGGCGGACGAAGGGCGTCCAATGGTAATAACTGTTTAGTTTTTCGGATTCAGCAACAACCAACAACAACAATAATAACAACAACAACAACAACAGCAGCAACAACGACAACGACAACAGCAACAGCAACAATCATTGTGTGATGGTTCGCTCTGATCTGCTCGCTCGCCACTCAACACGTATACCCCAAGTCTGAGATACCCGCCCCGTTCGTCTTCGATCGTCCCCCCCTTGGGGGTATCATATCTTCCCTACCTGCCGCGTGTACTTGGCGCAACTCTTAAACAGGGGAACGAATGGAGGAGGGAAGAGACAAGGGTGAGGGAGAAAGATCGAGCACGAGAGAGACTTGCAGGAGGAGGGTTCGAAGTAGGAGCACAAGCGGCAGAACCAGACGGGCGGGTCGGGCGGGCGGACCCTCACAGGCAGGTCGGGCGGGTGGGTCCAGACGGCTGGGTCGAGCAGGCGGGCACGGCAAATTGCGAGGGAGTGCTACGCGAGAGCGCGATTCTTGCAGAATTGTGGGGAAGTCCTGCGAGAGAGCGCGATGTTGAAATGAATTGGGAGGAAGTATCAGACGGGAGCCGTTGTTGTTGCAGTTCGGGGGCCACCAACCCAATCTGAACCTCAAGCATTTCCCTTGTAAACAACAAGGTGCGAGCCCCAGGAGGGGCATTTCAATTGGAAACACATAATGGACACCGAAGGGGGGGATCAACAATCATCAGGTTTGAGACATGAGAGTTCAACAAAACAGCAGCAAAAACAGGTAAGCGCCAGTAGCGACACTGGCAGAAGGAGACAATGTAGCAGCGCCTGTAGCAGTAGCAGCACTGGAGGCTTGCAGTGCCTCTCAGTTGACCTTGGCCTCGTCGGGCACGTTCCGCCTCCTCCTTCGCCTCCTTCAGTTCTTGGCTTTCGGATCGTAACGCGGGTCCCGGGCGGCCGCCGGAACGCTCTGCGAGCACCCCCAGGGCCCTCCTCTTGGCGAGGCGCGACTGTCGGAAGGCGTCCCGGGGGGGGCGAGAAGACCCCAAGTTGTGCCACGGGTCAGAGTGACCTTTCGCTGGAGTGGCCTTTTGTGCGGGACCCCCAGATGTCTGGATGCGGTACGATAGCAGCGGCTTGCGCGCTTGACTTCGCTGGAGTGACCTTTGGGGCGGGACCCACAGATGGCTGAGTGCGGTGCGATAGCAGCGGCTTGCGCGTTTGGGTTTGGCCTCCCCGCGCCCCCCGAAAGCCGCGCACCAAAGGTCACACTCTTGCCTGGGGTCACTTTTGCGAGAAGACCCAAAGACCAGGCGAAAGCTTCCGATAATTTCCGAGGCGGTCCTCGCCGTCGTCGTCCTCGCCCTCGTCGTACTCGTCCTCATCCTTGCCATCCTGGTCCTCGCCGTCCTCGTCGTCTTCGTCTTCATCGTCGTCGCCACGTCGGTCCTCGTCCTCCTCGCCCTCCTCGATCTCGCCCTCCTCGTCCTCGCCGACCTCGCCCTCGTCGTCCTGGTCCTCGTCGTCCTCGTTGTGAGGCCTCGCCGTGGCGCTGGCGTGCCTCGCCGTGGGCGTGTCCAGCGGTGTCGCCCTCGTGAGCGGCGGCGCCCCAGGCGGCGGCCGTGCGGGGCTCGCCGGGAGGCGGGCAGACTGCTCTCGGGGGGGGGGGGCTGCACGGTTTTGTATATCCAAGCGGCCTTGCGGCCAGTGCCGCCAGCCTTGCACCCGAGGAGGACGAGGAGCGGGAGCAGGAGGAGGATGATGATGAGGAGGAGGAGGAGGCTGAGGTGGACGCTGAGAGGCGCGCGGGGCCGCGCCCGCGTCGGCCGCGTCGGGGGCTCCCGTGGTGCGCTCGCTCCGGGGCCCTCCTCGGACCCGAGGGCCCCAGGGCATGCGGAGGAGGAGAGAAGGGAGGAGGACGAGAAGGAGGAAGGCTTCTTCTTCATGCGTTCCTACATGAAACTATGATCATTGCAGAACGCTGCGAATCGACGTGACTGCTGCGTCCTGACAATCCTAAATCGTGCCAAGACATCAGTCCTGGGACTTCAACACCGCGAATCAACATGACCGCTGCGTCCTAACAGTCCTTAGTCGCGCCAGAGCACCGTTCCTGGGACTTTTACCCTACGGTCCTCGAAACTGCTGCAAACTTCTAATTGGAGCGGAACTGCCCTCCACCCTTGAACGTGTTGCAAGCGTACAAGACGAGTGTGCCCGCCTCCGAAGGCAAGAGCCACATTGGCAAAGCGGGCCGCTCTCCATCTTGGAATTGCTGCAAGCTTATGTTCGCGGCACTAACGCAGGAGCCACATTTTGAAGACGGCCCGCCCTCCGTCCTGGCAGCGACTACAAACTTCAAGCTTCAGAACCATCAACGGCGAGGGAGTCTTGGGCGGCGCTACATCCTTAGCCATAGGCCATAGGTTGCTTTTAAAATCTTTAGGGAGGCACTGTTTATTCCCAACCATCCTGTGGTGTCGGGTCCTCGTTTTGAAGAGACAGCGCCCCGCGTCCCACCTCCTTCCTCCTTCCTCCTCCTCTCGTCCTCCTCCCTCCTCCCCCATCTTTGCCTTTGCTCTCCGCATGTCTCAGCAGCATCATCATCATCAGCAGCATCATCATCATCATCATCAGCAACATCATCATCATCATCATCATCATCATCATCATCATCATCATCATCATCATCACCGTCATCAGCATCATCATCATCACCATCATCGTCATCATCGGCATCGCTATGGTTAATTCGCTTCGTGGCCCCATAGGGAGCTCCACAGAAGCCCCCACTGGGGGGCACATACGTCCCCCACGCCCAGGACAGCGCTTGATGGCCCCATAGGGAGCTCCACCGAAGGCCCCGGTGGGAGGGGGGGGGGGGGGGGCACATGCGCTCCCACGCCCAGGACCGCATTTCGTGGCCCCATAGGGAGCTCCACCGAAGGCCCCAGTGGGGGGGGGGGGGGGGGGGGGGGGGGGGGGGGCACATGCGCCCCCCACGCCCAGGACAGCGTTTCGTGGCCCCACAGGGAGCTCCACCGAAGGCCCCACTGGGGGGGGGGCACATGCGTCCCCCACGCCCAGGACAGCGTTTCGTCTCCCCATAGGGAGCTCCACCGAAAGCCCCAGTGTGGGGGGGGGGGCACATGCGTCCCCCACGCCCAGGACAGCGCTTCGTGGCCCCATAGGGAGCTCCACCGAAGGCCCCGGCGGGGGAGGGGGGCACATGCGTCCCCCACGCCCAGGACAGCGTTTCGTGGCCCCGTAGGGACCTCCACCGAAGGCCCCAGTGGGGAGGGGGGGGGAGGGCACATGTGGCTCCCACGCCCAGGACAGCGCTTCGTGGCCCCATAGGGACCTCCACCGAAGGGTCCAGAGGGGGGTGCCACATGCGTCCCCCGCGCCCAGGACAGCGTTTCGTGGCCCCATAGGGAGCTCCACCGAAGGCCCCAGTGTGGGGGGCCGCATGCGTCTCCCCCACCCAGGACAGCGCTTCGTAGCCCCATAGGGAGCCCCACCGAAGTCCCAGTGGCACAGTTCGAATGCGCCTCCCCCACCCAGGACAGCGTTTCTTGGCCCATAGAGAGTACCGCCGAATGCGATACTCACAACGACGGTATTCACAACTGCATAGGGTTGGGTCCTTCGCCAGGCTAATTTTATTAAGTTTGTTGCCGAAAAGAATAACCTTAGCGGAACGCCCGGCCCGCCCTACTAACACGTCTGGGGGAGCAACAGGGAGGAGTTGTTTGTCCAGCTGCCGGCGGCAAGTCCCGCCAGCGTGTCAGCCCAGCGTTCTAGGAGGCGAGTGTTGGAGGGGCACGGGAGGCCCGAAGGCCCGTCAAGTGTGATTGTTTGTGTCCTTAGGCTTGGGGAGTCCGTGATAATAATGATGACGATGAGGATGAGGATGATGAGGAGAATCATGAGGATGAGGAAGATGAGGATAATAAGCATGATGAGGAGGATGATCAGGATGATAATGATGCTGAAGGTGATGAGGATGATGATGATGATGAAAATGAGGACGGTGACGATGATTATGATGTTGATGAGGATGAGAATGAGGATGGTGATGGTGTTGATGTCGATGGTGATGGCGATTGTGATGGTGATGGTGATGGTGATGGTGATGATGCGATGGTGATGAGGGTGATGACAATGGTGGTGATGATGGTGATGATGATGGTGATGATGATGCTGTTGATGATGATGACGGTGATGGTGATGATGATGGTGATGATGGTGATGATGATGATGATTATGATGATGATGATGATGATGATGATGATGATGATGACTGTGGTGGTGATGATGATGGTGATGGTGATGATGATGATGATGATGATGATGGTGATGGTGACGATGATGATGATGACGATGGTTATGATGATGGTGGTGATGATGATGGTGATGGTGATGTATGATGATGGTAATGATGATGGTGATTGGTGATGGTGGTTGTGATGGCGATGGCGATGGTGATGATGGTGTTGATGACTGTGCTGGTAATGGTGACGATGATGGTGATGGTGATGATGATGACGACGATTAGCATGATAATGGTGGTGATGGTGATAGTGCTGGTGACGATGTGATGATGTGATGATGGTGGTAATGGTGCTGTTGGTGATGATTAGTCGTAGTAGTATAATGATGATGAGGAGGATGATGTTGATGATTGTGATGCTGATGGTGACGACGATGATGATGGTGATGGTATTGGTGTTAGTGTTGGTGATGGTACTGAGGATGATGATGATGATGGTGGTGATGATGGCGATGATGATGACGATGATGCTGATGATGATGGTGATGGTGGTGATGATGGTGATGATGACTGCTTGTTGTAATGGTGATGGCGATGGTGACGATGGTGACGATGGTGATGGTGATGGTGATGGAGGAGGCGGGGGAGGAGGAGGAAAATGAGGATGATGAGATGCATGTGAAGGAGGAGGAGGAGCAGCAGGAGGAGCTGGAGGAAGAAGAAGGCCGTCACATGTGACAGCAGTTGTTTTCACCAGTGGAGGAGCCCTCATGAAACTCGTTTGGACAGTCCTTAGTGGCTGTCTTGGCCTCTTGTGAGGCAGCCTTAGGGGCCCTGGGGGCACTCTTGTGCTATTATTGGGCCTTCTGAGACAGTCGTGGGGTTCGTGGAGGCCGTCTTGGGGACATCTTGGCCTTATGGTGGGTGTCTGGGGGCTGTCTTGGGCAGTCGACGGACCTTCTAAGGCCGTGTTGGGTCCCCGGGAGGCCCTCTTGGGCAGGAGTATTTCTTAAGGACGAGGATTGGAGGAGGAGGAGGAGGAAAAAGGAGAAGGAGGAAGAGGAGGAAGGAGAGCACGAGCACGAGCAGGAGGAGGAGGGAGCAAAGGGAAGGGGCGTCCCTTCGAGTCGCTGCTTGACTCTCGCTTCGGGGGGAAACCGAGTCGCGGACGCGTCGTCGGCCAGCAGCTGACTCCCTGGCTCCGCCCGAGGTGCTGCCAATGCCGACGCGGCTCCACCGCACCCAGCCCCAGAGGGAGGAGGAGGGATGACTTCCTGATGTGCTAAGGAGTCCCCCTCCTCCTCCTTCTCCTCCTCCTCCTCCTCCTCCTCCTCCTCCTCCTCCTCCTCCTCCTCCTCCTCCTCCTCCTCCTCCTCCTCCTCCTCCTCCTCCTCCTCCTCCTCCTCCTCCTCCTCCTCCTCCTCCTCCTCCTCCTCCTCCTCCTCCTCCTCCTCCTCCTCCTCTGTGTGATACACGAGGAGGGGGCTGCTAGCCCGTGTCTGAGCTCGAACGTGGGGGCCTGAAACTATGCCCCCTTCCAGGCTAAGAGAGAGCGCTGCCAGACTGCAATATGGCTGGCGCCTTGCCTGGCGAGGATGGCGGCGAGGATGGCATTCGGTTCCGCCGACTCATGACCCAGGAGAGGAGAAGGAAGAGGAGGAGGAGGAAGTCGAGGACGGGGAGGAGGGAGGGAGGAGGGGGAAGTCTTTGATTTCCAGGCTCCGCCTAGGTTGGGCGAATACTGTACTGCTGACCTGAAGCCTGCGCACGACCTTACACGACCACACCCGCATCTTCGACCCGAATCCCAAAATCAGAGAAGCCTCCTAGACGCCGACCCACAGGTTTGGACTTCCTTCTACCAGCAGGCACTGGTGACAGGATTAGCTAGGAGATGCGCAGTGGCCTGCGCCGCTAGCATTCGGTGCCAACTATTGCTCAGAACTCGGAGCTAAGCAAGGGAAATCTGGAGGGCCAGGACTACACATCCTAGTGAGCTGGACTGCCAGCCCTCGCAGGCTTGCTACATAATTGCCGGCTTCTCTTACAATTATCTGACAGTTCGAATCTTCCTCTTCCCTCAAAAAGAATGAGTCCCCAACCCCCCAATCGATGAGTCTCCCACCACCACCCCGGGTGACAGCTGCGCCTGCCTTGTACCGCGCGCGCTGATGGGGGAAGGCGAGGGAGGCCTGGGAGGAAGTGCGAGCGGCGAGCTGAGCCGTGCGCGGTGCGGCGGGGGCCTTGGGAAGCTCCGACTGGGGAGACCCATGGGCCCCAGGCGGAGAGAGGCCGTCCCTCGTGCAGGTGCATGCGGCGGCCATCAGCTCGACCTGGGACCCAACCAAGACTGGTCTGGCCGCTCAGAGGAGCGGAATCCTCGGATATTCTGGAAGTTCTGCCTCAATCACTCCTCGTGTCTGCTTGCGTTCACTTCGGCTGACGCCCGCTTGGCCTGGTCCGTTTCCTCCCTGTCCCAGAGGATCCTCTGATTGAGCCACGCTACATCAATTCTAGCAGGCGTGATCCAGACCGCCGTGTTGCTCCTGGCCTCCTTGACCACCGGCGTCATGCTAGCTGCATCCCCGATTTCGCTTTCTACTGTCATATTGTTTGCCTGGTTCTCCACGCCCTTCTCCGAGATCGCCTCCCGGCCCTTCCAGCAATCGAACGTGAAGAGTTTCCGCCATGCTGCTGGCACCTCGTCCTCTGCAATCAAGCTCTTGACGCAAGCGGGGTCCAAGGCATGTTCCCCAAATCCAGAGAAACTCGGTGGCTTCTCCAGCGCTGCAGCCTTCTTGCCAGGCACTCCTCCTCCAGGACCCCTTGATCATGTCGATGGTGCTGGTGCGGGGAAGGCTGGCGGCGTACAAGATGCACTCGCTGGGCCACTCTGGGGAGGTCGAAGTGCGGTGGCCCACGGGGCCGAACCCCCTGCCCAAGGATTCGGCTGCTTTCGGCGCGGAGGGGCAACACCACCGTGCTTGGAAGCTTCCCCCCTTATTGCAGAGTCTGCGGTCGTCGTCGAGCGGCTTCGCGCCGGTGCTCCCCGCTGACCTGGCTCGCCAGATTGCCAGGCGTGCAACGTGGCTGCGGCAGCCGTTGCGCTCGTCGAGCTGGACCATCCAGCTTCGCTTTGTTTTTCGCGGAATGGCGGCCTCGTTCGGTTTTCGTGCAGAGCCCACGTTTGGGGCGTTTGATGTCCGTTCGCTGTTCGTCCTAAGCGTCACCCTGTGCTAAGCACCGGTGTGCTCGGTCGGTGGCTGGATGTGGCGCCCCTCTCGCTCCTGGTCATGTCCCAGGAAGAGGTGAGGGCCCAGAGAACAAGCAACGACAAAAGCAAAAAGCCTCGGAGATTCGCGCGGACCTCCGAGCTGTTTGTTTCTACGTCAGTGTTTGTTCCCCTGGAGGTGCTTCCTGTGTACGATGGCGCAGGCCTGGCCGGTGGCAACGCCTGCATAGCTCTACCTCTCACCTCAGTGTGCGGTGCCCTTAAGGCACACGCGTCTCTGGGGGACATCCCGACTCGTAGTGCGGACGCTGTCCCCCAGGGGGTGGGCATGTGCAGATAGGCTCATTGGTACGATCATCCCTCTCTCACTTCCTTCCCGCCACCTCGAGCACGGTGCGGACCGGGTCGGTCATGCGCTGCGCGGCGCCAGGCGCCCCAGTCCGCGCGGAAAGCGCCACGGCGGTGCTCTGGAGAGCGGCGCGCGGGCACGTCGCCGAGGGGGCGCGGGTCCGAGGCCGGCGGGTGGGCTGGAGCCAAAATGGCCACGGGCTCTCGGGGGGGGGGCGAGAGAGGGAGGGAGAGGGGGGGGGGGAGGGGCAGGGAGGGAGGGGGAGGGGGGGAGGGGGAGCCAGGGAGAGGCAGGGAGGGTGGGAGGGAGGGGGGAGAGAGGAGGAGGAGGAGGAGACGAGGAGGAGGAGGAGGAGGAGGAGGAGGAGGGAGGAGGAGGAGGAGGGGGAGGAGGAGGAGCAGGAGGAGGAGGAGGAGGAGGAGAGGGAGGGAGGGGGGAGGGCAAGCTAGGTTGACATAGAATGTGGCGACGCCCCACAGGGTGGGGGTGGGACTTCTGCGACCCAAAAAATCGACGAGTCGACACCGAATGTATAATCACTTCCGATGGTTTGTTCGGGTTGGCATGATCTAAATTTGGGGGCCTGCTTGGAAGGACCGGAAACCATGCCGTGACATGACGTTGGAAATAACGACGCCAGCGTTGCAGCGGGAGCACGATTCGGAACGAGCGGAAGCGCGGAAATGAGGCCAGCGTTGCAGCGGGAGCACGATTCGGAGGACGCGTAGCCTGACATAGCATGGCCGGCGTGGCGACGCCCCAAAGTGTGGGGGGGGGGGCTTCTGCGACCCCAAAAGAAGTCAACGAGTCGACACCGAATGTATAATCAATTCCGATGGTTGTTTCGGGGGGGATTTTTATAAGATTTGGGTTTTTTTTTGGAAGGACAGAAAACCATGCCATGGCATGGCGCTGGAAATAATGACGCCAGCATTGCAGCGGGAGCACGATTCGGGACGAGCGGAAGCACGGAAATGAGGCCAGCTCTGCAGCGGGTGCACGTTTCGAGACGAGCGGTAGCCCTAAAATGAAGCCAGCGCATCAGCGAGAGCAGCACATAAACTTTATGTTTCAATAGATTGATTTACTTCTTCCTTTAACAAACGGAAAGAAATAAAAAAGGGGTGGCCGGACATTTCCCGGACGTCACCAGGGGAGAGAGGAGAGTAGTATTCAGATTGTGTAGTTCTGCAGGGGCAGAGAGGGGGGAAGGGATGGAGGCAAGATTTTGAAGGGACTGTTGCCTGAGACGATTTCCAGACTGAGCCAGTGTTTCCCCTCTCTTCCCTCCCTCTCCCGCGCCCGTCCCCGCCTTCGACTGGGCCTATCTTGTCAGCCGTACATATATGTTTGTCTTTGCACGTCGGCTGTTCAATGAATGACCAGGCGCGCCTCAGATCACCGAGGTCACCCAGGAGAAGCAGGCGGAGGAGGGATGAGGAGGGATGAGGAAACAGCAGGAGGGATAGGGAGAGGGAGTCTCGTAGTGATTGGCCATGGGGCGCCTCAACCCCAAAAGTGGGCCCAGCTTCCTGGCTCCACCACCCTGCATAGCAAGGTAGTCGCAAGCGCCCATCGCGGTGGACATTCAAGGAAATTGGGGTGAAGAGAAAGAGGAGGAGCAGCAGCAGCAGCAGCAGCACCAGGAGGAGGGGGAGGTGGAGCGAGGAGGAGGGGGAGTAGGGAGGGAGGTGGGACGCAGCTCTCTCTCTCTCTCTCTCTCTCTCTCTGTCTCTTTCTCTCTCTCTCTCTCTCTCTCGCTCGTTATCTCTCTCTCTCTCTCGCTCTATCGCGTTCTCGCGCTTCTTTCGTGTCTACATGCCTCTCGATGTGTGCATGTATATAATGTATGTCCCTCTCTCTATGTATGCACATGCATACGTCCGTATATCAATGTGTGTAAACATAAAACTACACAAGTATATATGCGGATGCATACATACTGACATATATGTGTTACAGTACATGTGCGTGTCAACCGTTCTAACTATATCTCTCTCCCGCTGTCGGTATCTCCCTCTCTCGTTTGTTCTCTCGCTCTCTCTCTCTCTCTCTTTCTCTCCCTCTCTCTCTCCCCCTACATAGTTATATAGAGTTACCTGAGCATGGGTGCCACTCTCTCTGTCTGTGTCTCTCTGCATATATGTATATCTAGCCATGTATGCGGAAGTATGCACATGGCGTATGTACTGTGTACAATGTTGTATGTGTATATGGACGTGTTTGTGTTTAAGTGTGTTGTGTAAACGTATATGGGTATGTATATATATATGTATACATATGTATATATATGTGTGTTTGTGACCATGGGTCTGTATATGTATACATATACATGGATGTCAATCGTCCTCTAGGCGTGCCGTAATCGCAAGACTCCCTCGGGAGAGACATGTTTGAATAGATTGTGCAAGGGGCTTCCCCAAGGGCGATAAGTGGCCCATGGGCACGGGAGTGGGGCGCCTTCGAGTTGAGGCAGTCTCGAGTGTGATCAAGTCGTTATTGAAACCGAAGTCTCGGAGATAGATTGCTATCGAGAGCCGCCTCCCGAGGGGGGGTGTAATTGTCCAGCTGTGGCCTCGCTGCTGACTGGCACTCTTCAGCATTATCGCAGCATTATATCATCCTCCTTCCCCATGTCTCCTCCCTCCTTCCCTCCTCCTCGCTCTTCTCCCTCCTCCCCTCCTCGCTCGCCCCCTCCTCCTCCTCCTCCTTCTCCTCCTCCTCCTCCTCCTCCTGCTATCCAGCTGGCACTTCCTGGGCGTGTCTCACCGACGGTCTGAATCACGAGAGGGCGGCAATGATTTTCAACTTGACCTTATCCTCCGTGTCCTCTCTGCTCGGCCACAGATGCGGTCCACCCCGGGACGCAAACTTTCTCGGGCAGGGAAATTCACCGCCTCCTCCTGTGTTTCGTCCCTCCTCCTCTTCCTCCTGCCTCCTTCTCCCTCATCATTATCCTCCTCCTCCTCCTCCTTCTCCTCCTCCACTTCCTCCTCCTCCTTCCCCCCTGTTTCACCATCATCCCCCCTCCTCCGCTAGGAAGGAGGAGGATCTTGCTGTAGCCGCTGGGAGGCGCCAGACCATGCCTCTGGCGCCGACGGCCGACATCTCGTTGTGGCACGACGTCAGCTTGCACGTGAACTCGTGGCTCGACGAGGCCCTCATAGTCCTTGTGCTACTGCGCCTCCTCCTCCTCCTCATCATCATCATCATCATCGTCCTCGTCCACCTCCGTCTCATCGAAACTCTTGCTGTTCTCCATGATGCTAAACCCGGAAGGATCCTGCGAGAAACGAGTTGTATCGAACTTTGCAGGTGAAGAAACAGGTTTCTCAGCTGAGCTTTCCGTTGTTGCTCCATCGGTCATATTTTGAATAGCCGCATTGGGGGGAGGCTCATCATCATTATCAGCAGCAGCATCATCATCGTCATCGTCGTCATCAGCAGCAGCAGCATCCGCACCATCATCATCATCATTATCATCATTATCATCATCATCATAATCATCATAACCAGCAGCAGCATCCTCCGATCATCATCATAATCATCACCGTCACCATCAACATCATCTTCATCATCACCATCAGCACCATCATCAGAATCATCAACATCATCATCAGCAGCAGCATCATCATTATCATCGACATCGATATCGTCATCATCATCACCATCATCATTACAATATTCCTCACCATCACGACCATCGTCGTCGCTATCGCCATCGTTATCATCACCGTCACAGTCACCATCCTTATTCCCATCATCATCCATCATCCCCACCACCACCATCACCGTCATCATAATAATCATTATCATCATCATCAACATCATTATTATTAACGTGCTGTTCCTCCTGCTGGTGCTGCTCGTCCCCCCCTCTTCATCCTCCTTCGCCTCATCATGCTCGTCCTTCTGCTCCTCTTCCTCCTCCGCTTCGTGATCCCAGAAACATTTGGAGAAGCTCAGGATCCCATATCCCCCGAGGCCGCCCAGAGTTCCCGAACACTTGTCGGGAGCGCCCTGCTGGTGGTGTTCCCCGCCTCCCTCAGCAGGACACCGGACTCTTCCACTACGTCAACGAGATCCCCTTGGGCACCTTGGACAAGCATGAGGTGCAGCCAGGGGAGCCGTACAACAGGATGGCCGTCGTCGTCTCCATCCTCCCTTCTCTTCCTCCTCCTTCTCCCCCTCGTCCTCCTCTTCCTTCTCCTCGATCCCCCATTATCCATCATCATCCTCCGCTCTTATCCTTACTTGTCTCCTCTTATTCCGCCTTTTCTCGTTCACACGTGTTTCTCCTCCTCCTCTGTTTCTCCCTCCTCTCAGAAACCAACAGGCACGATGTGCAGGCTGGGCAAAGCTCCTCCTCACCCTTCCTCCTTCCACCTCGTCCTCCTCATACTCCTTTCTCGTCTCCTCCTCCTCCTCGTCCTCCTCCTCCTCGTCCTCCTTCTTCTCATCCTTCTCCTCCTCCTCCACCTCGTTCTACTTGTCGGTCCCCCTCCTCCTTCTCGTTCCTCGTGACTCTTTTCCTGGGTAGACGACAGTGCGGTCTTGTTGCACGCACAGTCTCTGCTAGGAGCCAGGCTCTCTTGTACTGTGGTCGCGGCCTTCCTTCGCGACGCGCCTCCTCTCGCCCTTTGGCCTCGCTCCATGCTTTGTGCAGAGCCTCGCGCGTGGGCCCGCAGCGGCGCAAGTTCAAAACTTTCAGCTGCATCAGTGGGTCTGGCGCAGACGGGTCGGCGTTGAGAGGTGCAATCGTCTGTTTATTGTGTACCATTGCGCGCAATAGCATGCAACTGTTGCGGTGGGGGGGCGCGAACAATTGCGCAGGCGACAACGAGTGCACATGAAGAACATGCACAAGCGCATCCACGCACAACTATTTGCATCCAGCGCGCAAACTGCTGTATCCAGGCACCAACTGGTGCAAGCGTTCTCGCACCTATCCTAGCAGACCCATCTGCGCCAGACCCACTACCTCGGCCGACAGACGACGGCTGGCGGCGACGGGTAGCAAGCAGCAAGCGATCTTCACTAGCGCTGGCAATTAGCATAAAGATGTCCGCCAGTACTCGTTGCGTGATATCCGACCCCGAACCAAAACTCGTGGTCGGTTTGGGAGGTCGCCGCGGCGACCGCGGCGGCCCCAAAGGAGTGGCATGCCCCTTCCCAGCCCCTCCCCCCCCGCTTAGTGATGCAGACGCAGCTCACCATTAACAAGATAGCGACAGAGACTTGTCATTTGATGTCCAACATGGGCAGTCATGTTTTTTGTTGGTTAGGGGTCGCTTATCACGTAACCAAATAAGTGCGCTGAGCTGCTGCCTGCGCGTGAGCGGTGTCAACACCGCACATACGTTGCGTCTCGGACGCTGGCACCCCGCCGGTGGCCAAGCTCACCGTGTTCACAATCATGGAAGGCGCCGCGACGATCAGCTGGATCCTCAGAGCCTCGGTCCATGGACTTGTCGCGAAGAGGCAACAGCAGGCCGAAGAGGCGCTCGCAGCGGCCTCCTCGAACCCACGCGATGGCGCGCAGTGGGTTTGGCCAGATACGGGCTCCAAGGCCACAACACGGATTGAAAGCGAGGGACCACGCGGCGAGATGTAACATGTGTTTATTGCTGGGGTGGCGTCAAACGCGCATTGGTATGGTGCACCAGATCCTGTAGCCGTTGATCTAGAATTTTGTTCAAAGCTCCCGTGGGCTTTCGGGGGCCCTCTGGGGTCTTTTTGGGTGGGCTTCTTGGGGGCATGTTCGGAGTCTTGCGGGCCGATGGAGCGCGACCTCCTGGACCCAGGGAATCCTGGGGCAGCGCCTGCCGCCTCTTGCAGCTGGCCAAGCTGGTTGCGCATCAGCGGCAAACCTTGGATCACGCGAGGGCGCAGCCGCGCAGCAGAGGAGGCCTCTCCCTCACAGTGCTGACAGACCACGGTCACTCACTCACTCACTCCGGCTCGCAGGTGCGCCCCAAGCTGAACTTCCAGAAGACCGTGCCGTGAAGGAAATATATGACTGCGCGTCTGCTCTGCGCGTGGCCGCTTTCAACATCCACACCTTCGGCTGCACGTTTGAAGGTCGAGAGCTCCCTCGTGAATGGCCACGAGAGGCAGGGCATGCCTAGGCGTGCTCCGTCCGAGACGCATCCAGACTCGCAGGATGGCGGCGAGCGGGGACTCAACGTGTCGGATTGTCCACTGCGGGATTTGAAAGAGTCCAGTGGGCGCAGACATGCAGACACGCGAGAATTCCAGCACATGCCCACCTACCAGAAGGAGAAGGAGCGAACCAGGCCTCGCACGAGAATGACAGCGTAGGATGCCACGCATCGGTGCAAGAGCGAGCCGAACGAGTCAAATACGTGGTGGCTGGTGGCTGCTGACTACCACTCCACTCTCACGCCATGCTGAGCACAGAGACCCTGTCCCCGGACACAGGGCCACCAGAAGCGGGAAGCCAGCATGCCAGAGACCATGCAGCGGCTCAACTTCGCATGCCCACCCAGATGCGCGCGCCCAGCGGGGGGACGCCGACCGTCCCCCCATTTCGTCAGTCGTCAGCGCAGGCCGTCGTCGGCGGTACGGTCGGTTCGTGCAGTATCGACGCGGCGGCGGCCCCGGCGCGGGCGTTCAAGGTTGAACGCCGCCGATGCCTTGAATCGGCCAATATCGAGCGATCTGCGCTATAAGAAAGCCGCGATCGTTCAGGCTTGAACGATCCACGCCGCGTCAGAAACCGACGCCGAAGTCCTAACGACACGAATCTGCCGTACGCGATGTAGTCCACATCGATCGCGTCATTCTCTGCAGCCTGCGCGCGACTACGAAGCCGCGCACGCAGCAGAAAAGTGATGGTCGCAGCGGCGCGGCCTGCTCGGGGGAAGCCACGCGCCGTGGCTCGCAGGACGCGCGGGCCTCGGGCGGAGGATCGCATCTCAGGTGCCGCGGCGCCAGGATGCCGAGTGTGCGAAGCGCCTGAGGCTGAGACGTTAGTGGGCCTTCGTGGGTTTGAGGTGCATCAGCAGCGCCTTGAGAACATAGAGAGATCATATGGGAAGGCGCGTTGCTGCGCGCGCCCTCGCATGGGGCATGAGGGCCGGCGCGAGGAGGAAGAGGTGGTGGCGGAAGCGATGGCCAGGTGGACACGATTGATGCGGCCCAGTTTGCCTAGAGGGTAGAACAGGTGAACGCGTCGCTGCCTGAGGAGCAAAGTCGGAGCAGCGGCGGCCCAAGCTCGCGCCGAAGGCGCATCAGATCGCCGCGCCAACGAATCCCCACCAGCAGCGCCGCCGCGCGTTGAAGGCCGGGGGAGCCGCGGAGAGGTGACGGCACCGCGGTGGCTGTCGGAGGTGCGCGCCGCCAACGAGCAGCCCCGGCAGCCAACCCCTGCGAGGTGCAGCGCGCCCCCGAGCAGGAGGTCATCGAGAGGGCACGGCGGTCGGAGATCCGCGGAGAGCGGCTTGCTGGGCATCCGCGGACGGGGCAGGTGCCTCCACAGCGGGCCCCCGCTCCAGGGCTCGTTCCGATGCCGCCGAGTCGATTCGGTTCGGTTTCGACGGGCTCCGATTCCGGTTCGATCCTCGACGTCGCACTCCGCTTCGGGATCCGCTTTCTGACGGGAGGCCTGCCAGCCTGTCGATGTCTGCCGATCTCGGCGTCTCCCGGCTCGGCTGCCGATCGCCGCTCCGACCCGCCGATCCGCTCCCGGGCTCGCCTGCCACTCGTCTCCAGGTCGAGCGGCAGGCGCCCAGTCGGCGGCGCGTTCCTCTTCCTCAACTCGGCATCGCTCGGACGTGTGCATTTTTCCTTCGGCGAGGACCATCGAGGAGCATCCTTGATCATTTGGCGAAAAAACCACGCACGAAACCGAAAGATGCACAGGGAATGGACTTCCGAGCGATGGCGAGTCAGCCCCTCCTCCCTTTGGTGAGGGGAGCCCAACCCTTCCCCGCCCCTCCCCGAGGCTTTTTGTTGGGGGGGATCGCGGGGTGTCGAAGAGACGCCTTTCTTCGGCCCCTGGGAGGGCCAACTTTTTTGGCACCCCTCACGAGGATCGTGAGGGGGGGGCATCGGAAAGTGGCGCCTCTTCTGGCGCCTGCCGAGGAAGCCACGTCTCTTCTTTCCTTTGCTCTTCTGTGCTCCACCGCGGATGCAGCACTGGGGCTTCGGCCGGGCGCGCGGGTGCAGAGACATCCCGCGCCTTCTTGACGCGATCCGGCGGCGATAGTTGTCGCGCACCCTGCGCGCTTCGCGAGAAGGGGAGAGGCGCCGCCTGCGGTCGGCCACACGCAGGGAGCTGGAGGGGGAGGAGGAGGAGGAGGAGGAGGAGGAGGAGGAGGAGGAGGAGGAGGAGGAGGAGGAGGAGGAGGAGGAGGAGGAGGAGGAGGAAGAGGAGGAGGAGGAGGAGGAGGAGGAGGAGGAGGAGTGACCTCCGAGGGGTCGGCGGTGCTGGCTGGGAAGGCGGCACGTCCGCAGGCTGGTCCCGACCAGCCTCGGGCCTCGCGCCCGGTGCGCGGTGGCGCGGGGGCGCCGCACGAGCGTCGGCCTGCGACGAGGCGGTGGTCTCCCGACTAAGCTCACGTCGGGCGTGCCCCTCTTCAGGAGGGATATTCAAACATAGGCAAAAAATAGTCTGGGGGCGGTTGTTTGACTATTGTGGTGCACTGCTCGACTTCTTCTTAGTTTTTCTCTCTCCATCCGCCTGGAGGGGGACATGCCCGACCTAGGACTAAGCTGCATAGGCAGATATTCGCGCCGCCGGGCGTGCTCTTCGAGCGGTGGCTCCCACGCGCTCCACAAAGCCAGTGCGCCCCCCAGCCAGCCGCTTCTCGAAGGTGAGCCCGAATCTGTCCAGGTGCAGCTGGGCGCAGACCCGCACCTCCGATGAACCAGCTGTTCAATCCTGGCGTGCTTTTTCATCGACTTCTACGGACCATCCGACACCCTCCTCCTCCTCCCTCCTCCCCCTCCTCCTCCTCCTCCTGCTCTTCCTCCTCCTCCTCCTCCTCCTCCTCCTCTCCTCCTCCTCCTCCTCCTCCCTCCTCCTCCTCCTCATCCTCCTCCTCATCCTCCTCCTCCTCCTCCTCCTCCCCCGCATTGTCATCAACCTCATCCTCGCCAGGACGAACCACTAATCCCAGGGAAGGTGGTCGAGACCTCCTGGGGCCGCGCACTGAAGAGTCGCCTCGTCGGACGTCTGGGTTCTCTGGCCCTGCCAAAATCGGGTGCGTCGGGCGCCGCGGCCGAGCGGGGGCGCCCCCCGCGAGAAGCCTGGAGGGCCCCCTCCCCCACGAAGAGAGACATCCTCCTCCTCTTTCGCTTCCTCCTCCTCCTCCTCCTTCTCCTCCTCCTTTTCCTCCTCCTCCTCCTCCTTCTCCTCTGCAGTCGTCGTCTTCTCCTCCTCCTCCTCCTCCTCCTCCTCCTCCTCCTCCTCCTCCTCCTCCTCCTCATTGTCCTCCTCCTCCTCCTCGGGCGACGCGCTTGGTGATGGAGCGCCTCTAGGTCGACCGTGCGGGCGCGAGGAGGATCGCGCTGCGCGTCCGCGGCCTGCGGCGGGAGAGCTGCCCCTCTCCAGGGGGAGCCGCGCAAGAGAGAGCTCGAAGATGCCTCGCGCCTCGCGCGACACGGAGCGCCGGAGCGAGGTGGCCCAGGCGATGGAGCGCCTCACCTTCTGCGCGCAGGCTCCGTCGCACGGTGAAGGGCGTTCGCACGTTCCCAGACATCCGGCGATGCGATGTTTCCCCACCTGGCAGGTTGGGGCGGTCAAGTCTTGGGGAATATATAGAGATCTCGGCCCGCCTCGCGCACCCTGCATACCGCTGGCCGCCGGGCCCAAAGTGTGCCGGTGCTCCCCAGGTGTCCGGCCGTGCGTTCCCGGGTGGGGATGGCTCGAAATGCACGGCCCCCGTGGCTCCCGACTGCCCCGAAGCCATATCCATCGGGGGCCCGAAACACGGGGCCCCGAGGCCGAAACAGATGGGGAAGAATTAGGCATGAGCAAAGAGATCGTCGGAAATCTGGGGTCGGCCAAGACCTCCCGATCGGCGCGGCGTCTGGCGGCCGGTTCGGCTCTGCAGCCCTCGCTTTCGAGGCCGCGCTCCCCCTCCTCCCGAGGACATGCAGCGCCGAGACGCGGAAAGTTAGAAGCGGTTCGGGATCGCAAGGGGCGCGCTGTTCCCCAAACCTTTCCATGCGTGTTCCTCGATCGCCTCCCGTGCACCCAGGCGGCTTTGTTGTCAAGAGACAACTGCGTGCCTGGTGCTTGTTCCTGAGTGGTGGTAGCTTGACTCTGTAGCCAGGAAGTCAAGCGGGAATCAGGAGGAGAGAAAACACACAGACACAATTAGTCGTCGATTCCCCAGAAAATATGGAAAACATATGGGCGGTGGGGGGAAGACGAGAGTCCAAAAAATATTTGAAACTATGGGGAATCCTGTTATTTACGCATATTTTTTGTGGGTCCCTGGGCCCCTCCAGCAGGTGTCCAGGGGAATTTGTTGGCCTCCCGATGGCCCTCCAGGCCCAGTGAGGCGAGCGCCAGCAGCATTATGGTAGCAAGGGGTCGTCACGTTTGTCCTCGCCCTCCGCCTCCTCCCTCCCCGTCCTCTCTCCCTCTCCCTCCTCCCGCCCGCCCCCCCCCTGCCCGAAGCACCGACGGCAGGATCGTGGAGGACCCCGTGGGCTCCGCGCGGCTCCGGGCCTTCGGGCGGCCCGTGCCCTTCAACTACGGCTGCTTCCCGCAGACCTACCGCGACCCCGAGGAGATCGACGAGCTCCACGGCGTCCCTGGCCCAGAGCACGCGCCGACCGGGGAGATCGCGGCCAGGGCGGGAAGGGAGGCCCTGGCGCGCCGGTCGGTGGGTGGCCAGAGCGGGCGGGGCGCCGAGGTCTCCAGCGGCTTCGTCGTTTCAATCGCTGCGTTCCTCCTCGATTTGGGCCCCTTGTTCCTACCAGCTGGCCAGAAGGGTGCCAGGCAGGTCCTTGTCCGAGCGGGGCCTTCGCCTGAATGGAAGGCGCCTTAGACGGCGCTCGTCTCTCGAGGGGCGCCTCTTGCGGTGAGGAGGAAGGCACGCAGGGACTTACTTGGCAGGGGATTCGGGATGGCAGCGTATGTTGCAGCATCGTTGATGTTTGTTGGGCTTATGTTGGTTTCCCTCCTCCTCTCCTCCTCATCCTCCTTGTCATCCCCCAACTCAATAATCATCATCCGCCTCCTCGTCATCATCATCATCATCCTCATCCTCATCCTTGTCCTCCTCCTCCTCCTCCTCATCATCATCCTCCTCATCCTCCCCTCCTCCTCCTCATCCTCCTCCTCCTCCTCATCTCCTCCTCCTCCGCCTCATCATCATCATCTCCTCCTTTTCCGTGACCGCTCCGGCTCAGGATCCGCGCCCATGTCTCATTTTGCCTTCAAGGGTGGATCATTCGCCCGCCCTGCAGGATCTCCTGCCCACTACAGCAGCAACGCGCCATGGCCTCCAGCGCAAAGAACTTTCAGGAGATCATCCAGAGTGCCATGGCAACGGCGTCCTCCTCCACCATGGTGCAGGTCAAGGCGCGTGTGGGACTGGTCGCCAGGGTCTCGAGTCGCCTACCGCCAGCGTGCAAGCTACCCGGACGTCCATGTACGCCGTCACCGCCCAGATGACCCAGATGCAGGAGCAGCAGCAGAAGATGCAGGAGAAGGTCAACGAGCGGGACGTTGTCATACACCAGTTGCGGAGCCAGCCGCCTGCCTCATCCTCTGTCCGGTCTACAGCGTCGCTCTTACACGCTATCCGAGCAATAACGGAAAACGTCGGCGTGGTGATGATCAAACCAACGGTGGCAATCCGTGAGTCATATTCATCAGTACCCTTCCGAGGCCTACGGTAGCACGTGGGCGGGAGCGGCACTACGCTGGCCTCGTGGCGAACTTCCCGCAGTACCCCACCAATGGTGTTGAGACCAAGTTTCGCGCGTTTGCGCAGTCCCACATGATCACGATCGGAGCTTCTGGCCCGACGCCAACATGACCGGTGTTCAGAGGCCGGACCTGCGCAACAGCAAGGCTCACTCCTTGAAGGTCCATGCTGATCTACCCCAACCAGCTCGTGGTATAAACGGTCGTGCCGTGTCCTGTATGAACCAGTGGAGTTCCTCTTGCAGCGCAGTCAGCATTGGAACCAGCAGTGCATCTTTGACACTGACGGCTTCCGTGGGGCCATGAGGCTGAAGGCGACGTTTGGAATATGATCCAGGCTTCTGCCAGCATGCGAGATGGAGTTCCTCACTACACGCTCGAGCATGATTACGACGAGCTCATCCGCTGGGCCATCCAGAGGGAAGAGATCGACCCCATCATCGAGCGGAACGCTAGCGCCGCCGAGGTGCTGTGACAGGCGTCGAAGCAGTCGTCAGAAACACCCCAGAACAGGGAACAGCAGGTTTCCTCTCTCCCGCTTTTGCTAGTGTCTCGCCACTTCCACCCTCTTCCGACTCGAGAAGCATATTTCGTCTTCCCTGACGCCAGCACCGACTGTACCCTTCACGTCCCCTCCAAACGACTTGAACTTCCACGAGGCGGGTGGAGGGCGATACTCTCTCCTAGACTCTTCTGAATGGTACACGTCTCCGCGCCTTGCTCTCGAATTCCATCGTGCGTTCCCCGGACTACTCGAAGCTGCCCCCGCACGTTCACCCACCGAACCAGAACCAATAACATTTCCAGCGTGGTTAGGACTGTTCGGATTTACACGTCCCTCCCTACGGCTGATGCGCGGGGCCTAAGACCTGCAAGGTCCACTATCTGGCCCCCCGCTGAGATCCAGACCCTGTCCGACCACGACCCCGTCTTCCGACGTCTCCAAGCCCGCAATCCTTCTGAGCGTTCACCTAACACCCCACCTCGGATTGCAGGGCACCCACAGTTGTACCATCATATGGACGACTCCTCTCTCAAGCCCCCCCACCCCCAGACCCCAATTAACGACTCGGGGCATTACACACTGCATGCAGCATGCTGCGCAGAAGGCACGTAGAGATATCGACAGCGGTGGAACCACGCCGGCGCCAGAAAAGTCAGCGCGCGCACTATGGTTGCCGCGTGCTGCCCGCTCGCTCGAGGAGGCACTCAGCGCGCCCGACTCCCGCCCCTGACTCCTGCGCCCCCAACTACATCAAACGATATCTAAAGCAGCGCACGCCCACTCCCACCTCTGTGAGATTTTTCATTCTGGACGCTGAGTCCTGGACTGATCGCGCAGGCGTTCACAGGCACGTCGCCGCCCTTGCCCAAGGGGGGTCTAGGCTGGCAGGAGGGGCAACTGTCGCGGGTAGATATGAAAGGCGTTCAAGGAGAGCAGCAGATTGCCACGGCCCGTCGGCCCGCCAAGGCGCGGGTCAAGAAACGGCCGAAGACTTATTTGACGGCGGCCATCGGCGACGCGGGGGGGCAACATGCGAATGCACGGGGGGCGGGGGCACGGCTACCCCAGCAGTGGGGGGGCCATCCTCGCCGAGATGCCTGCCAGCTCCAGCGCCGCCGCTAGTTTTTGGATTTGGCCCCACAGTTCCCGACGAACGAATGCCACTTCACCACCAGTACTCGCCGGCGTTTCCTTTGAATGGTTTCGGAAAATCCGCTGAATTGCTCGTTGACGTCCAAGGTTGCCACTGCCCCCGGGCCCTACGGGACCCCTCGCTGCGCTCGGCGGCGCCCCCATCCACTCCGCAAGGCCGCCCTCCGGGGCCGCTGCAGCGCGCGTGTGTCGACGCAGATAGTGGCCGACGGTTCCAATGGCTCAGAGCTTGCACCCCCTTCTTATATATTTTTATATTCTTTCTCCCCCAAAAAATGCCCCGACCCCAGGCCCCGCGGCCAGGGCGCGCGCCGACGCCAGCCCTCTGGCGCTCAGCAACACAGACGGCAAGTGCACGTCGTCTGTTCAAGCTCACCCGCTGGCCGAGGTCGCAAGCATCGCTTGGTCACCGCGCAGAAAGATATATAGCAGGACGATCGGTGGCGAGCAATGCAATTAGATTCAACGGCAGGCCAACGACGCGGCAGACTTCGGACAGCTCGAAGACTGCCGGGCCTGTCAAAGTTGAGCAGAAGAGCGCCTGCCCTTGCATTCACCTCATCCGGCTCTTCTTCGTTTGCACACGTTGGGATTTCCTGCCGTCAGTTGCCACGAGCGCGCGCGCTGTGCATCGGCGCGCGCGGCGCGCCATCTCCATCCACGGGCGCGATTGCGGGGACTTCTGGCCTCAGACAGGTGCCAAGCAAGGGGTCCCCCTTAGTGGCCTTCTGTTTGCCTTCGTCTTCGACCCCATTTCTCGCCCTGCATCTCGCCTTCGACCTAGCAATGGCTTGCGGAGATCTGGTCAGGGCCTCATCTGTCGTCGCGGAGGTTTCGCGCGCAGCGACTCCTGCGACAGGTCTCGAACACAATTATCCGAACTGCAAGCTCACCGCCCCGTGCCCATACGACGCTGTTACCACTGGGCGCGCGCGCCGGGATCAGGCCTTCGATATACAATCCTGGGAACATTGCGCGGTGGGCATGCATGTCGTTTTCGAGGTGAGCCTTCGGGCTGCTAATCTTGCCCAGGCGCGAATGGGGCAGGCGCTCAGGGCTCGCCCTGTCGAGGTCAAATGCGCGGCCGTCGGATTAACATCGGGCATGCCCGCGTACATTGCGCTGGGCTAACCCGCGCGCCCCCATGTTTCGCAGTTTCACGCAGTCACTTCCGAAGGTTTGAAGTGCGAGCGGGACGGCCAGCAGCTCTTGACTTGGGCGCGGCGGTTTTCGTTGTCCCACTGCTGCGCTGCAGCGAGGTGCCTTTCTCGGGCGCAAGCTGGAATGCCGATCCCTTCGTGCCAGTGCGAGAGACGCTATGGCGCGCGCCGCTGCGCATTCGAAAGTGGCCCACGCTCTCCGACGGGAAGTTGAGGACAAGGCCGATAATGACAACGCTGTGATTGCGCATCGTTGGCAGGAGGCATACGGGGAATCAAGAGTCTTCCAGATGTGCTGCGCATATGACGAGCACCAGCGCGTGCTTGGTCCTGTAGAGACCCCCAACAGGAAAACGACCCAGCGCACCCTCACCGCGACTCTCCGACGGGCTCCGACGGCCCCCCAGTTGCTCCTACCGTTCCTCATATTGCCACGGGGCAAAGGATGGGCACTCTCTATGGCAGGAGGCGCCGAGAGACTCACATGCCACAGAGACGGCGCGCGACGCACTGCCCGTGACACTCCCGGCGCATAACTTGCATCCGTACCAACACTCCAGCGCAGCTTCCGTGGGCCATCCAAGCCGTCGGCACGACCGACGACGTCTATTTTGACCAGCGGTCGTGAGACGGCCATCGCCATTTTAGCTTGCGTCGCCCTGTTGCCCCTAGTGGCGCTCCGCTTTGCGGTTGAGCAGTTTTCCTTTTCAGCCGTAGGCTGACGATCAGTTCTGCCAGGAAGTCGACCAGTCGTCATCCCTGCAGTGGCGAAAAGCCCGCGTCGGAGCAGGGAGCCGAGAACCGCCGGTTCCCCCTGGTCTCCCCCAGGGTGCGGTCCGCTCTTCTGTGGACCAGATCCCCGGTGTCAACTAACAGCGGCAACAGTGGCGGCACTGCAGGGGGGAACCGCACCGTTCATCCTGAGGGTCGACCCGTCTGACTTTCGAGCGGGCCGCCGTATCCCCCCTAGGATGGCGATCCGACCCGCGGTGACACAGATCCCCCCCGCCCCCCCTCAGGGTGGCGCCCCGACCTGCTGTAGAGCAGGTCCCCCATCGCCGCCCTGCTGTGGAGTGGGTCCCCCGGTCACCGACAGGATCGCGATCCCTCCTCCCGTGGAGCAGGCCCACATGGCGCCACCAGGGTAGCAAGCCGTCTGACGTTATTCTGGGGGAGTCCAGCGTCTGACATTATTCTGGGGAGTCAGCGTCTGACTCTATTCTGGGGGATGCCAGCCCATCCCCTGGCCAGGCGGTGTGACACGCTTCACGCCCTCTCACTGGCATGGTATGGCGGCGATAGGAGCTATCGTGAAGCTCCCCCGCCACACCTAACGGTGCCTCCAACGGTCCCCGCACAGGCTCTGGGACCAGAAGGTTGGCGTCACAACCTTCACGAGCACCGTTTTCAAGGATGGGAGAGCCTGCGTGCCCCACCCGATCTGAAAGGGTTATGCCTA